AAATTGGGTCGATTTATCTCAAAAATTCTAATTTTTTGTATTGTTTTTGCTTTCTTTTGGATTATTTTTTACCTACATTTTCTGTTTTCATAATATAATTTGTAATTTACTAACACGTACTTGATCATTACTTTAAAATTGTTTTTACACATCTAAAATTGTCGAAGCAATGCTAAAACTTGCAATTTGCAAGTTTTTAATGTATTCGTTTCTAAATAACTTTTTACACTTTATGTGTACAAAACACATTAATATCTGACATGCAATATCCAGTTTTTAACCTAATTTTATGCATTTATTGATAATGAATTATTTTGCGTTTATGAGCTGTTAAAAATAAGTCCTGCCTGTTTGCTTTGATAAGAAGAGTAGGTAATAGTACAGGCCGTTAAAAAATTAATAAACAGTGTGGGTTTCTTGTTAATCTGTGAATTATGACCATTTTATGTTCGTTAGTTATCGATGTAATTTTCTGATATGCATTAACGACAAAAACACTGAAACATTTTCTTGGTATTGATCAACGGCACAAAAAATAGGCAAATTGAATGACAAATAGAACATTCGTTCTTATGTGGTTTTATTAGGCAATACATATAGAATACATTAGAATAGTTTTATATTGGCTTATAAAAAAGTTATTAAATAATGAAAAACAAAAGACATAGTATTTTTTAACATATCTTAGTGGCAAAACATTGATCAAACCTAACCCGACGCATCAGTTAATAACTGATAAAAAATAAAATATTTTACAGTGAGTGTTTGGGAAAGTATTAAATATTTATTTTCATATTTTACATTTAATATTTTTCTTTGACTGTACTATATTGTGATCTTATAAGTATAATGGTATTTTTATACTGCTTATGTGCTTTAACATGTATTGTTTTCTGTTATTTAGTAAAATCTCATTGTTAAACTGGCCTAAACAATTTGGTCTGTTTTTAGGTTCAGAAAATTTGGCTTCTTTTGTTGTTTTGGAAATAATTATGTACCCAGCACACAAATACTGTAAAGTATCATATTACTGTGACCATTAATTTGGATCATTGCCATTCAAAATCGCAATACAATAGAGTGATTTATTGGTATGCATCGTCCCATGTTCCACTGTTCTTAAAAATAATCCATAATAGGATCTATAGGAAATTAGACGTAGACATCAGTAACACTCAGATGGGATTCAGAAAGGGGCTGGGTACAAGGGAGGCTCTGTTTGCAATGAACGCTCCCTTAGAGAGATGTTTAGATATGAACCAAGAAATTTACGCCTGCTTTATTGATTTCGAAAAGGCTTTTGACAAAGTACAATATGAATCACTAAGACAAGTTCTAATAAAGAAAAATATAGACAGCCGAGATATTCGAAGTATATGCAATCTATATTGGAATCAAACAGCAAATGTCAAGGTTGAGGGCAGACTAACAGAAGAAATTCAAATCCATCGAGGAGTCCTGCAGGGATGTATCTTATCGCCACTTTTATTTAAATAGGTGCTATAGGAGCATTCTCAGAATATCATGAATGGACCGCGTCACTAACACGCAAGTACTCCAAACTTTAGACAAAAGATGCGAAATTCTAAATGAGATAAAAACTAGAAAGATGGAATACTTTCTAGTTTTTAAAAAACACATTTTTATTTTGCTTCTTTTCTCCAAAATTCATATTTGACAATTTATTTGATGTTCGCTAATTGACGCTTTTATACTGGTCCTAAAAGAGCATCTCGTTCTTTACTTAATTTTCGATATTTTCATTGTTGTTTCATTTGCGATATAAAGCAAACGTATCGACAAATTAAAGTAAATAAGGAATTTTGGAACTATAAAGGGGTTCTCTAGAGATCGGATTTTTATAAACCTCTCCAAAGTTTTTACTACCTACCGGTACTTACGGCACTTCTTCTTCGTTTTATTTTACTTAAAAACTCTAAAAGAGTAACTCTTTTATTTACTCTCCTTCTGCAGTGAGCACTTATTTTTTTATCTACTCACCTTCTGCAGTGAGCACTCGCTTAGCTTTTAAAACTCGATGGTTTTTCGCTAGACAACTCAACAATGTTACGGTGCTAGGCCTAAAATGGGAACCTATGACTGACTTCTTTTCTTATTCTTTCCGCCCGTTTCACAAACCTTGTACAAAGTGGGCTATTCGTTCGTAAATCAGTCGTATTCTTTTTCTATTCTCTTGTTTTTATTTTTCTATGTCTTTTTGCTATTCAAACGTCTTCTACAACCGTTGTGGTACTTCAATGTATCCTGGGATGATGAAATATCTGAACAGATACATCTAACCACAGTACTTGTAAGTGTTACATTTCTAGTGTTATTTTTTATAAAAGACAATTTATCGCAAGATTAGAGCTCTTGACAGCTATACTGCTGGCTGATCTAGTCATTTTTGTCAACGAGTCTCGTCCAATTTTTATGCTCGCTCTGACTCAACAAAATTGGAGCTCTTGGCAGCCATATTGCTAGCTGATCTAGTCACATCTGTCAAAGTGTTCTTTTTCCGATGTTCCGATGTTTGGTCTGATTCGGCGATTCCGCTCACTTGAGCTAATTTTTCTACCCATAAATTGCCAATCGTATTCAACACATGCAAGAACTGATACCACGCTTTACTCGGCATTATGTGCCTTCTAATCAGAACTAATCTGATTGTGTTAGTCGTGTTTTATCACTGGTACAATTGTTACAATTTTCACCAAACTGGCATTTTCCTACTGTGGAGCTCGTAGAAATATCATTACTTCCCGGCTATCGTCGAAGACTCTCTGCTGAAATGTGACACCACGCCGAGATTTCGACGATGTTCTTCTTCTTATTTTTTCGCACCCTGCGAAATTCTTATAGGAAAAAGGGCCAATGGTTCTTAAAGGCCTGTTTGACACAGTCTTCCTAGTTTGGTAGGTCGAAAAATTCTACTGATTCGATGATATTCTTTTTTAACTGACGGCATTGTACGCGTTGTTAATCTGAGCGCAGTTTCAGATGTTATCCAACAATGTCCTGTGGACGAAATATGACTGCCGCCTATTTTCAATCCATATCTTATTCTTACTTACTTCTTTATTATACATCGATCTTTATATGTCTATTCTTCACACTTATACTTTAAGCTGTTCTTACAAACATTCGTTTTTGGAGTGGGAGACTGTTTGGGAAAGTATTTAATATTATTGTTAAACTGGCTTAAACGCATTTAATCTGTTTTGAAGTTCAAAGAATTTGGCTTTGGCACGTCCCGTCTTTTGCGCTTCGAATGGAGTCGCGACGGTGAACGATACCAGTCTACTCAACTGGCTATGGTTAATATACCAATGCTACATATAATCAATGAGAGACTGAAAACATTACTTCAAAGAGAAATCCCACAAGAGCAAACTGGATTTACCAAAGGTAGAGGCACTCGAGAACACCTGCTGAATATAAGACAGATAATCGAGAAATCTAGGGAATTCAACATCCCACTATACATTTGTTTTATAGATTACCGTACAGCGTTCGACAGGGTCAAGTGGAGACACTTATGGCGAATACTAAAAGAAGTAGGCGTACCACAACATCTAATTACGCTTATAACTGAACAATATGAACACACTACTGGATCAGTTAAAGTACTTGACACACTTTCGAACGAGTTTCATCCAGAACGGGGTGTCAGACAAGGATGTATACTATCTCCACAATTATTCGTTTCGAGTATATTATGCGAAGAGCACTTGAAGGATGGGAAAAGGGCATCTCAATAAATGGTCATAAACTAAACAACCTTCGTTTCGCAGATGACACAGCCCTTCTTGCAAATAGTCAAGCAGAGCTGATGGAACTTATACGACTGATCGAAAACGAAAGTCAAATATTTGGTCTGCAATTAAACATATTAAAGACAAAGATCATGATAGTGGATAGACTACACAACAATCATCCACACATAACCACAATTGACCGGTTCGAGGTTGTGAGCTCATACTTATATCTGGGATCATTAATCACAAACACAGGGTCATTACAAGAAGAGATTAAACGTAGATGTGATCTAGCAAAAGTTGCCACAGTAAAAATGACCAAAATATGGAAGGAATGTCAAATTTCAAGAGCGATAAAGATGAGGTTGATCAACTGCTTAATATTCCCAATACTGACCTACGGATGTGAATCTTGGACTCTGAGACAATCGGAGAGAAAAAAGATAGACGCCACTGAAATGTGTTGTTGGAGACTAATGTTACGAATCCCTTGGACCGACCGTAGAACAAATAATTCAATTTTAAGAGAGCTAAAAGTTAGCCAACGACTCTCTAGTAAAGTCCATCTCCAACAATTAAAATATTTTGGGCATGTTATGAGAGCAAACATAGAAAACATGGAAAGACTCTTAATACAAGGAAAGATAGAAGGCCGAAGATCACGAGGAAGATCCCCAACAAGATGGATAGATCAAATTACAGGAATATGCCAAAGACCTATGCATGAATTAAAAGAAATGACCAGAGACAGAGATCTCTGGAGACGGACAATACACGACATCACGTCGACCACTACACTCCCCCTGGGGGGTCAGGATTGAAGAAAGAGAGTTTCAAAAGGTAAGTCTTTGTTCTTTGTAAAGATAAAAGTAATGAGTAAAGCCAGTTAGTTCTCATAATTTATTCACAATTATTAGTTGCTATTTTTTGCTAATTTATTTGCAGTCAAAATATTGCATTTTTCTTGCAATATTATTCTAATTTCATTTAACCAGCGAGCTCTAAATTTTATACAAATCATTTGGTATTGATAAAAATCGAAGCCTTTAAAAGATTTTTATACAAAACAGTGAGTAAAAAGTCATGCATAAAAAAACATTTCAAATTTCAGCCTATATTTACGGTCCTAGTTTACTTTTAGCATTACCCAAAATAGTTGCCCCGTAACGTAAGACTAGGTGGACATATCCACTTCGTTATTACACTTAAATTTAAGTTAATTAAATATTAAAAATAACTTACCTGGACAATAACATCGTAACACACCACTTTGAACTAAAGTAGTGGGAACAGGGAATGTATCAAAAAGTACTGTATATGGCCCAGAAGAATGCCAGGGTCCTGTAACCAGAACCTTGACTCCTCCTTCAGGATAAGCCCACTCGGGAGAATAATCGGTAATTTTTGCCGAGCCTTCCAATGGATGATTGCTCTGTTGGTGTTCTGGTTGTGCCTTAGTGTTACTTCTATTTTCGGACGGATTAACATCTAAAAATACAGTAAGGAATATATGTTAAGTAATATGTATAAGTTGTGTATGATCAATTCTATTTCTACAGAATTTCATACTATCAGAGGCGTCCGCCAAAGGAGTCGCCATATTCCCAAAGCTTTTCAGTGCAACTCTAGAATCTATACTCAGCAAAATTAACTGGCAGCAAAAATACGTATACCTTATACCTTGATGTAGAATACCTCAGCCATCTAAGATTTGCAGATAACATCGTTTTGATCACGTTTTGAAGCGACCTAATAGGCCAAGCAAGTTAGGTTTTTACTCATCACAAGTGTATAGACGGGTTTGACAGTTGAAATAAGTAGTATGAGGTATTACAAAAAGACTCTCATCTAGGGATTCATAAATTTTTTATTGGAAATATTTTTAAATAAACAATTAAAACGTCAATATCATTATTTTGCTCATAACTTATAAACTTGTCTATTTAGAGATTTGACGTCCACAGACGAGTTGTTGAGAAAGAAAAAATACACAAAACGAGATATACTAAATTAAAATCGGTTAATAAACAAAAAAGTTATTGCATAATAACCAAGCAAAACGGCTGTTTTTGATTATTGTTAATAACTCTTTAAGTAATTAATAAAATTTATTTAAATGTATCTGAACTTAAAGATCTCATCGAGTTCAAAGTGTGTGCGAAAGATAGGCTAGATCCGTCAAATAGTTTTTGCACAATTTAATTTGTTTATAAGATTTTTTGAACAATGCACAAATTTCTAAAGCCGGTCCAGATAATTTGACTGAATGGATCTTAATAATCCGGGGCTTATTTTCTTCGATGAGACATATACTAATATCCTGTGGAAAAAAAAGTTAAAAAAAATTGCGTTTATGTACATAAAATGATTTATTAATAAATAGCACTTTTTAAGTTTATAAACATTTACAATAACTCCGTACTATTTAGTTTAAATTAAATGGCAATAAAATATTCGGAAGGCGGGTTAAAAAACACAACTTTAAAAAAAAAAAAAGGTCCTGCGACCATTAGGAGCCGAGTTAGTCCTATTTTTTTTTAAAAATCACTGTTACGTCAATTAACAACATTAAGGGCTGAAATTAACCAATCTTTTAGAAGAAAAGTCAAAGTTTTTAAACAAAATATTTAGCAAACAAAATAATTGAAAATTGATTAAACAGGAGTGTTGTAAACCAAGAGTACTTTGCGTTCCGACTCAAATGGAAGGAGTGGGGATTGCCGATTGCACTCAAGCCGCGCTCTAAAAAAAGTCGAGCGCCCGTCGAAAGCAGATGCTGTTAGTTTTTACAACTCATTTTCCTGTGACTATACAACCGGTTTGTTGTATTGAAATATTTAGTGTTTTGTTTTATTTAATAATTGTTACAAATAATTAATGGTAAGTAAAATTCATCTGAATATTAAACAAAAACTACGTGTTGTGATATATATTAATATAAACACATGGTTGTATTACGTTGTCTGAATAATATACGGTTAACTTTGAATATAATATTATTTTACTATTATTATAAGTATACGTGAAAATGAAACTATGATATTATTTATATGGAAAAATTATTAAATATTTCTATTTTTATTTTAAATTTTAAAACTAAATTAATAAAATTACTTGCTGACAGAAAAGATCTGCAAATATTAGCTTCCAAATTTTACCAACCACATACATCTGCAGAAATAATTGGACAAAGTGAAGTGCAAATAATTGCATGTTTATATGGCGCAAAAGAAAACAGTGACTTGGGTGAAATACGATTTTACCACTTCAAGAATGCTGCTTTGAATACAAGCGTTAAGTTGGAAAAGTTGCCACCTACAAAGGGTAGTGCAGAGCAGCATAGTTATAGAGTATACCTTCAAGTACAGGAATGGTTGGGCGTGAAGAAAGACCCTACAAAATGGGGATGGAAAATAATTGATCAGAACTTCACACCTACATATTAATCTGATCCCATGGTTCCTGAAGAATTGGCTAATTCAATCAAATGCAATTGCAAAAAAGGATGCAAAACTAAAACATGTACCTGTCGCAAAAATGGCTTCAAATGTACAGACATGTGCGGTACATGCATAGAAATTCAATGTACTAATATTTATGAAATTATTAATGTAGAAGAAAACGATACAACAGATGAACAAGAGATAATTGATGAAATGTATTTAACTGGGTTTGATGAGAATAGCGACAATGAAAATGAAATGAATTATGAAAGTTATAATACAAGTGAAATTGAAGATGAAAGTGAAGATGAATGTTTACATAGTAGTAGCAGTGACGATATAGAAATAAAGCGTAGAAAATTACAGTAAATTAAATTATTTTAAAAAATCACTACACAAAATTTCAACTTCTGTAATAACATAAAATTAATTTATTATTTCATTAACAAATTTTTAGTAAACATTATTTAAAATGTTCATTTACTTATAACATTTATTTAATATAATCATATTTGAAATAAATAAATAGAAAAATAACAATAAAAAGACGACTTAAGAAAAAGTTTGTACATTCCGTAGTCATTAGCTGCTTTGTTTTGAATAATTTTGCAATGAAAGTACGTTAAATGTTATTATTTTAACGTTGTACCCCAGTTTAAAAAAAAAGAACAAATTTGGTCCACTAGAACCCGAGATATGTCTTTTTTTTCCAAGCACTCTATTTTGAAACCCTGCGCTCGACTTTTTTGGAGAGCGCGGCTTGTGTGCAATCGGCAATCCCCACTCCTTCCATTCTAGTCGGAACGCAAAGTACTCTTCGTTTACTACACTCCTGTTTAAACAATTTTCAATTATTTTTTTGCTAAACATTTTGTGAATAACTTTGACTTTTCTTCTAAAAGATTGGTTAATTTCAGCCCTTAATGTTGTTAATTGACGTAACAGTGATTTAAAAAAAAAGGACTAACTCGGCTCCTAATGGTCGCAGGACCTTTATTTTTTTTTAAAGTTGTGTTTTTTAACCCGCCTTCCGAATATTTTATTGCCATTTAATTTAAACTAAATAGTACGGAGTTATTGTAAATGTTTATAAACTTAAAAAGTGCTATTTATTAATAAATCATTTTGTGTACATAAACGTAATTTTTTTTAACTTTTTTTTCCACAGGATATTAGTATATGTCTCATCGAAGAAAATAAGCCCCGGATTATTAAGATCCATTCAGTCAAATTATCTGGACCGGCTTTAGAAATTTGTGCATTTTTCAAAAATTCTTATAAACAAATTAAATTGTGCAAAAACTATTTGACGGATCTAGCCTATCTTTCGCACACACTTTGAACACGATGAGATCTTTAAGTTCAGATACATTTAAATAAATTTTATTGATTACTTAAACAGTTATTAACAATAATCAAAAACAGCCGTTTTGCTTGGTTATTATGCAATAACTTTTTTGTTTATTAACCGATTTTAATTTAGTATATCTCGTTTTGTGTATTTTTTCTTTCTCAACAACTCGTCTGTGGACGTCAAATCTCTTAATAGACAAGTTTATAAGTTATGAGCAAAATAATAATATTGACGTTTTAATTGTTTATTTAAAAATATTTCCAATAAAAAATTTATGAATCCCTAGATGAGAGTCTTTTTGTAATATCTCATACTATCCATTTCAACTGTCAAACCCGTCTATACACTTGTGACGAAAAAACGCTTATTTTCTACTAACTTGACTCGTCTATAAATGCAGCTAACAATTTTAGTATCCAAGAATCGTCAAGAGAAGACTATTAGACTATCGTGGGTAGAAATAAAGAACTACTGTGTAAGGGAGAATGCACCATAATCGGTAGAATACACTGAGAATGATGATGATGACGATGATATATATTTAAAAGCATTTTATTTCAGTTCAAGCTACCACAGGTGCTCCTGACGAAAGGTGATTACTTTGAAACACATTTAGAGCAATGGTGAAGCTTGAGTTTAACATAAATGCAATCGTCTACTTTAATTTTAACTTCTTTTCTCTATATAATGAGTCCAAAATATGATAATCGAGTCTTTTACAAGTAACCTGTAGATGTATTGTCAGAATAAAAGGTTATTCCTTACATCGTTTAATAGCTCTCAGTAAGTTTGGATTTACAATTCACCTTATTCGTCATTAAAAGGAAAGTTTCCAGGCTGCTCGCTGCCAAATGGTTAAAATCGAAAAACATACAAAATTGTCTACTTATATCTTTTGTTCTTTTTGTTCAAGTGTATATCTATTACAAATGTTGGTAATCATTATGGTCACTTAACTTTCGAATCAACTGCTTTCGGAGTTGTTTTCTAAGACATTCGTCTGCTTCCTACACTCATGTTGTCCTCTATTTTATTTTGTATTATGAGTGGCAAAGTACCATATTTTTCTCCATGCATTATATGTCCGAGATATTGCAGTTCAACGTTAGTAAGATCTATTCTTGAGATTTTCAGAATGATTTTATACTCGATTTAGCGTTCATGATTTAACCCCGTAGTATAGGACACAATGGCCTGTATAATTCTGTACTTCTAGGATCCCATTACATCCCATGGGCAGGGGAGAACAACCATCCGAACGCAAGGCCTCCTCGGTCGTCAATATGCGAAACCCTTGCACAAAATACCAAAAAAATAATATTCAACTGTCTCAGATAAAAATAGCTACCTGGAATGTAAGAAGTATGTATCAGCCTGGAACACTACATAATGTTATTAATGAAAAAGAGAGACTAAATATAGATAAACTTAGGGTCAGCGATGTACAATGGTCAGGAAATGGAGAAATATCAATAAATAACCACAACATTTATTACACTGGAGGAGACAAAACTGATCATCTATACGGAGTAGCTTTCATCGTAAGCAACACTATTAGAAAATTAGTGCTAAGTGTGATTCATATCTCAGAAAGAATAATAATGCTAAAAATTCAAATTCAAAAAAAGTCTATGCTCCCACAGTTGATAAGACCGAAGATGAGATCGAAAAGTTTTATTCAGAATTGCACAATACAATCAAGTTAACAAAATCTAGAGATATTACTTACATTTTAGGAGATTTTAATGCAAAAATTGCAGTAGGTACAGTTGAAAATATAGTTGGACAGTTCGGACTAGGAACTAGAAACGAGAGAGGAGAAAGGATAATAGAATTCTGCCAAGAAAATAATATGGTAATTGCCAATACTTGGTTCCAGCTTCCTAAGAGAAGACTACATGAACGTCTCCTTTATATACAGAAAACCACATTGCAGCAACCAAATAGACTTTATACTCGTAAATAGCAGATATAAAAACTCTATAACCTCACCTAAAACTTATCCAGGAGCAGATGTTAACTCAGACCACAATCCGTTAGTGGCTGACGTGAAAATAAAATTAAAAAGAATTGAACTCAGAAAACAACAACCAAAAATTACTACAATGCTACAAAACGAAGAAATAAAAATCGAATTAAAAAATAATGTGAATACTAATATGCAAAAATACTAACTGACAACAAACAAATTATGGATGTAAATAAAACGTGGTATAATATAAAAAACACTTTACTGAAACCAGCTCAAGAAAGTTTGATACAACATAGTTCAGAGTCTAAAAAACAGTGGATGAAAGAAGAAATACTACTAAAGATGGAAGAAACAAGGAAATATAAAGGAAAATATCTACAGAAGTATAAAAGAATACAACGAATAATTAAGGAAAAAATCAAAACAGCTAAGAAAATCTATTTGATGAAACAATGTAAAAAGATAGAAGAACTAAAAACAAAATATGGTATGAAAAATATGCACAAAAAAATAAGAAAGTATCTGGAATGGGTCAAAATAGATAGCAAGGACACATAAAAGACAAAAAAGGAGTACTACTAATAGATTTACCAGAGAAATTAAGACGATGGGAGGAGTACGTTAGAGAACTTTTCCAAGATGAAAGAGATGAAATGCAGAAAATACAAGAATTAAATCCTTTAGGGAGACAGAAGATCACGATAGATGAAATGATCAAATAGGCTATCAAAAACTCTAAAGAAAAGAAGGCAGCTGGATTAGATGAAATACCAGTAGAACTGTTAAAAGTAATGGAGGAGGCTAACTTAGAAGTATTGTCAGATTTATTCAACACGGTGTAAGATACGGGAATAATATCACAAGAGTGGCTGAAGTCAGTATTTATAGCCATTCCTAAAAAACAAACAGCAAAAGAGTGCTCTGATTATCGAACACTGAGCCTCATGAGTCATACGTTAAAAGTACTGCTGAAATTAATACATAAGAGAATATACGAAAGGCTAGAGGAGGACATTAGCGAGACGCAGTTCGGGTTCCGAAATGAAATGGGTACTCGAGAAGGACTATTTGCTATCAACATATTGATTCAGCGATGTCAGGATGTAAACGTTGATCTACACTTGTGCTTCGTTGACTACGCAAAAGCTCTCGATAAAGTAAGACAGGAAAAACTAATATCAATACTTATAAACAAGCGCATTGACAGTAAAATCATAAATATAGTACAAACAATATATTGGAATCAAAGTGCCATAGTTCAAATTGATGGGCAATACTCAGAAAAAATGAAGATCTGTAGAGGAGTTAGACAGGGATGTGTTTTATCGCCACTTTTGTTTAACTTATATTCTGAAGAAATTTTTCAAAACACGCTCAATAATATCGAAGTGGGAGTCACCGTTAATGGAAAATTAATTAACAACTTACAGTATGCAGACGACACTGTGATCATAGCAACGAGTATAGAGGATTTACATCTAATCGAAATCTTGAGTATGAATAGTGCTGAGATGGGAATTACTATAAACGCTAAAAAACGAAGTACATGCTAATGATCATACTGTAGAAATAAACAGGCGAATAGAGATTGCCAGATCAGCATTTATACGAACGAAGCCACTCCTAACGTGCAAAAATCTAAATTTGGAGACAGCACTCTAAGAAGAAGGATCCCAAGTCAAAGGAGACCTAACGATTATTACGAATGGCATTACTGAAAGAATGAAATGAATAAGAAATTAAACGAGTCAGACATTAAAGCTGTTAAACGGCTGTTATCATCCTATAATTACTTTATTAACAGTGACCTAATTTATGGTACATGAAAAAGATTATTACTTACCTAGGAGTCCGGCATTACCAGAATCTAAGCTCTCCAAATCGGGAAACTCTCCAAGCATATCGAATGCATCCAAGTTAACAAATACGTCATCGTCCACAACGTGAGTAGGTGACACGACAACGTCACAGCTATCTATAAAGTCCATGGGATTAATTTCGTTAGTCAATTGTTGCTGTTGAGGCTGCGACTTGTTCTGATGATTATTGGTGTTCGTTTCGGTAGTGCGATTTTGATTATTAAGTTCAGTTGAACACAATGGCATGTTGGCCGATAGGGTCCTTTGAATGTCCTCCTGAAAAACATACTGGTTGGTATGTTAGGTTCTTCAAATACTTTTTAAATCTATTAAAAAATTATTAAGTACACATCTGTGTTTGTTCATGTATAGTATTATTATCTACGAGACAAATAAAAAGAGAATTATTAAGAAAATTTAGTTGTATAGGTAATAGGAATTAAATTGTTTTTGTGGCAATTCAACAAAATCATAGAGTAAACATTTTTTTATCATTTTAAGAACAAACCACAATGATGACACAGCAGCGATGCAATTTAAAAAAAAAAGATCAATGATGAAAAAGTTAAAGTTGTTTTAGAACTGGGTTTCTAAACCTGGGTTTATTCTCAATCTGCCACTGGATTTTCCCTATCACGTACAGATTTTTCACAAAGCGCCATTTAACTTCCACCAACACTAGAGGTGACTACGAAAGAAGAAATAAATATTGAAGAAGAGAGAATGAGGTATCAAGGAAATTAAAAAATAGAAAATCACCAGGAGAGGACGGAATACCGAACGAACTCCTAAAGTACGAAGGACCAGATCTGACCAAACAACTATTAAAACGAATCCAAAACATAATAGAATAAAACAGAATTTACAGAGAAAGTAATTTATTACACATATCAATAAAATGAACATCCAAAGTACATAATAACAAATAAATTCAATGAAATTATAACCCTGGTAGAAGAACAACAATGTTTTAGGTCAGGAAGTCAAGCGCAGGAGAAATCGTTAGAATACAATAAACCGATATGCCTATGTTTCGTGGACCTTAAGAAGGCACTTGATTGGGTCAAATTAAAGAACATTATCCTTCGACGAAAACCCGAAAGAAATAACTCTAGGAATAATCAAAACAATGGAAAATATCTACCAAAACAACAAAATAAAAGTAAAAATAGAAGAAGAACTAGCTGACCCTATTGAAGCTGGCAATGGGATAAGACAGGAAGATTCTCAGATCCCCTATTGTCCAACCTGATTATGGATGAGGTAATTGAAAAAGTAATAACTAAAAAAGGTTACCAAATGAAAAAAAAAACAGCTTAAAAGAATCTGCTATGCAGACGACGCAATACTATTCTCTCAGATAATTTACAACATGTGCTGCACCAAGTTAATATAACTGCCAGAAAATGTAACACGTTAATTTCATCATAAAAGATAAAATTCATGGTTATAACAGGAAATTTAGTAAGATGTAAATTACAGCTTGAAGGTCATATGATAAAACAAGTGATGGAGTTTAAATATCTAGACATCACATTATCTAGCTACGGAAAGCTCGAAACAGAAGTGTAAGATTAAGTGTATAGAGCAAACAGACCCGCAGGTTGCTTGAATGAAACAATATAAAGAAATAAAAATATCTGGAAATAAATGAAAGGCAGAATTAACAAAACATTCATCAGACCAATAATGACAAACGCGGCAGAAATACGACCTGACACACACAGAACACAACAGGATGTTCGAAAGAACATCGAAACAAAGGATTTTCGAAACAGCATAGATGAAAACAGCAAAAAAATTGTCAGTAAAATACTATGGGACAGAGATAGAAGTACAAATACACCGTAGATGTAAGGTACAGAACATCAAAAACTGGGTAAGAAATAGAAGAGTAGAATGTAACGATTACAAAATAGGAAGAAGATCAGTGAGAAGACCACGTAAACGCTGGAACGAGATCTTACTTAAGGCACATTGAAAAACAAACAGAGTTATGTCTATATAAAAAGAAGAAGAAAAAGAAGATATAGTAGTCCTATTTATAACATTCTTTGAGCCTGGTGCCAACTGGGTTCTTGTTTTCAAAGATTTCGCCGTATAGTGATTGGACCTATCTCTACTTTGCCATGCACAAAGAAAACAAGGGAATTTAGTAAATCCACTTTGCAATCCTAGAAGAATACCAATGATTTTGAAATCTCCACAAATTAACAAGTTGCTTTTCTCGTATTTAATATTGTTTAAGAGAATTTTTATATTGTTGTATGTTTGTTAGCATTATGTAAAAGGACAGTTTTCAGACTAGCTTTTGACGAATCTATGCAGTGTCTCCATTCAGTAGGTTTATGGTCTATAGATTATATAGTTTATATGTAGATTAAATGATATTAAAGAAAACTAGTGAATCTCTTTCTTGAAAGACTCTTCTTTGTCAACCATTTTCCATCCACTCCTGAATGTAGGTCTCTCCCAATTGCTTCCATCTTTCTTTATCTTGCGCCAATCTAATCCATTGTTTGCCTGCCACTGCTCTTATGTCATCTACCCACCTTTTTTGAGGTCTTCCCATGCTTCTTGTTGTCGTCCTTGGTCTCCATTCTAGAATTCTCCGTTTCCACCTCTTGTCATTATATCGGGCTACGTGACCTGCCCAGCGCCATTTCATTTTTGTAATTTCTTCCACAATATCCCTAATCTTCGTTCTACGTCTTATCTCAAGTTTCTAATCTTGTCTCTTTATTTAGGAGCATATTCTCCTTCAAGATAATGATTCCAGAAAAAACTGACACTTGCAAGGAGATTTTTTGATTTTAATCTGGATCCAAAAACTTCTGCAGCACCCTCCGCAAGACTTAAATCTCTAGCTAAACCGTTTAATTTTTCTTGAGTAAAAAGTTTAGATGAGCGATCTTCATCAGATTCATATGATTTTTCACATTCAATGTTCTCATTGGCATTAATTTCACAGTCACAGTCATCACTAACATCTTTTAGAACAGTATAAGAGGCAGGTACAGGTATAGTGTCGCTATGAGCTACTGGTCTAATAGAACAAGATAAGTAAGTTATTATAAACCATGGATTTCTTGTTCTTATCTGGGTAGCCACATAAAGTAGTCACACAAAAGTAACAATGATCTACATGATTTGATGGTTCTCTCCAGATCACCGGCATTCCAAAGGCTATAGCTTTCTTTTTACCTATTAAACATAGTCGCCATGACACAAGTTCGGCAAACAGTATAAGGAGCCCATGACTTGACTTGATCGCCAAGTTTTACACCAAAATATGGAAATGACACATTTTCTACAAATTTGGTAATATGTTGTTTTTGTTTTACAACTCCAAAACCACAAAACCTTAAAACATATTAGGGTTATTCACACAGAATCTTCGAGATTGATTTATTTTAGAACAAGAGCGGTTGCCAATGACTGTGCTCTCAATAATGGACATACCATGCTTAGAATACCTTTTTATTTTTTGTATATTAAATCCAATAGAATTAACATGGACGCAATTAAAAGTAAATATAAAAAGAAAAAATGTGGTTCCTAAACTTTCATCGACAACGAATATGCTAAATATTTAATTTTTATTTAATCATAGCAGTAGACAATACCAGTGATGACAGTGATATCATGAGCGACAGTGATTGTGAATAAAGTTGTTAATATTATAAATAGATCTTTATTTGCTGTTATATGTATTCTTGGTTTAATATATTTTTATATATGATACTTATATGACTTTCCAAATTTTTTTATATTCATGTAACACGGAAAATGTAAAAATAAATGCTTGTTTATTTAAAATCATAACTTTTTTATTTTAATTGGAGCAACATTGATAAAACATTGTAAGAAAATAATTTACGTAATTTAAAATTTTAAAGCATAATTCGTTCCTGTTGATATCCGTGAAGAACAAGTCTTGTTCTTCACACAATGTTGCCCAACTGAATTTTGTTATTTTCGATTTAAATTATCTAGGCGAATTCCAAGTTTACCATACATTTATTCAATATACAGTGGCCCAAAAGTCTGGAAACGGCCAATTATCTCGTAAATTGCTAGTTATAATTGTACAAAATTTGAGGTACACCTATTTTGGGATACGGAGATTCCATATTTGATATTTGCAATGTTGCCAGATTTTCCGTTTTTCTTCTATTATTAGTAACTTTGGTTTTTTAAATGCATCACCCTGAATATTTAGTTATTATTGGAATCTTCTATTCAATACGAGCTCAATCATATGTAACACTTATGATTTTATGTAGTCTGAAAGGTCTTAAATACATAAAACACAAGTCTGGCAACGCCTAATTGTTTCGATAAATTTTTTAATACTAATTATTTTCAACTACATTATAACTTAACAATTGATAGATTAGAACATTTTTTAACAATAGTTACGTTATTAAGTGTTCAAAATGTGCTCAATTTATGAGTTGACAGTACCCTAATCGATGGTAGAATGCGCCTATCACATTTCTCCATGATGGTCTAGAAACAATTCGAGATTAATCGATAATTCGTTGCCTTAGCTCTGCAAGACTTGCTGGTTAAGTTTTGTAAACTGAATTTTTCAAGTATCCTAATAAATATAATCTTTATGATTGAAATCGGGTGAACGTGAAGGCCATTCAATTTTACCTTGTCTACCAATTTATCGTCCGGGAAATATCTCATCTAAATAGGGCCGAACATTTACACCAACTATCTGACGTTAAATTTTTTTCGATAAAAAATGTCCCAATTCACTGAATACCTACCATATTGACGATACATTTAATTTTTGTGGTCTTTGAGTATGGTTTTCACGCATTCAGTGTGAATTTGCGTCACTTCAGTACCTTAAATTGTGTCGATTTACACTTACACACAGTGTAAAGATTGCTTCATCGGAAAACATATTCTGTTAACGAAATTTTAATAATTTTCAATTTTGTCCATCATTACCTCAGTAAACTCTAATCTAAGATCGAAGTCATCTTCACTTAATTCTTGCAATAAGTTTATTTTGTATGGTTTAAACTTATTTTACGTAATATACGTAAGACTGAAGAACGACGACTTACATCATGTATTTGCGCAACCCTGCCTGAGGATGTATGTGGATCTTCAACAAAACTTTTCTCTTTCCATCTGTCTTTACCTTCTTCAGATTTCTCAAATCGCTTTACAGTTTTTTGTACCGTCGCCTTATGAATAGGAGAACGGTTTAGAGAACGGCATTTTAGAGAAGCAATTTAAATTGCTGAACTTTTCGAAACACAACTACTGTCAGTTTTAGTTTATAATGTAAATCGTGAACAAATGTCAATATCACAGCATTCTACATTTAAATATTTAAATTTATTAAAATCTACATATTTTCACTGTCTTATGTATTTAAGACCTTCCAGACTACATACAATCATAGGTGTTACATATTCGTATTGAATAGTTGAACTCGTATGAAATTCACACAGAATGCGTGAAAACCATACCAGACCACAAAAATTAAATGTATGATCAGGTATAGTAGGTACTTAGTCAATTGGGTTATTTTTTATCGAAGGAAATTTAACGTCAGATAGTTGGTGTAAATGTTCGGCGTTATTTAGATGAGATATTTTCCATATGATAAATTGGTAGACAAGGTAGAATTGAATGGCCTCCACGTTCACCCGATTTCAATCCTAAAGATTATTTTTATTAGGGATACTTGAAAAATTCAGTTTACAAAACTTAACCAGCCAAGTCTTGCAGAGCAAAGGCAACGAATTATCGATTAATCTCAAATAATTTCTAGACAATCATGGAGAAATGTGATAGACGCATTCTACCATCGATTAGGGTACTGTCAACTCACAAATTGAGCACATTTTGAATACTTAATAACGTAACTATTGTTAAAAAATGGTCTAATCTATCAATTGTTACGTTTTAATGTAGTTGAAAATAATTAGTATCAAAAAATTTATTGAAACAATTAGGCGTTGGCAGACTTCTGTTTTATGTATTTAAGACCTTCCAGACTATAAAAAATCATAAGTGTTACATATAGTTGAACTCGTATTGAATAGAAGATTCTAATAGTGACTGAATATACAGGGTGATGCATTTGAAAAACCAAAGTTACTAATAATATCAGAGAAACGGCAAATCTGGCAACATTGCAAATATCAAATATGGAATCTGCGTATCCCAAAATAGGTGCACCTCAAATTTTGTACAATTACAACTAGCAATTTACGAGATAATTGGCCGTTTCCAGACTTTTGGGCCACTCTGTATTTACTTGCCGTTCAAAAATATATTAAAATCTTTATTTATGGAAACTAACCTGTGACAGATCCAAAGTTTCATTAAAGAACCCTCCGTTAATAATGGAAGAACCATCACTTTTACTAACTAGAGAACCACTGGAATCCGTTCCTAAGAGTACTACCGTTTCGTTACAGAAATTTTGATGCTTGTAGTCTTCTACTACTTCTTCCTGAGTGGTATCCATGTGTTTTGAAGGAGTCGAAGGAGCGCTGGACATAATGACTTCGTTTTGTTGATGATGATTTCTAAAAAAAACGTAAAAATAGAAACTAAACATTTTTAAGGTTGATCTGCACCCTCGATTAATTTGTTTCTGATCCTAGAGATGGCTCTACTGCGGCATGCTACTGTGGTAAATTTTTTAACTTAATTGTAGATTTCTACATGACGACTCTGTAATATTTTCAAATCCTAACATAAATTGCAGTTTTCTGTCATTATATCAATTGGCTGAGTTGCCAAGTTGTGTAGACAGTAATTTTATCAAATATATGCTATAACTATATATGTTACTAGTAGACCAACTAAGCAAAGATATATTATAACAACATCTTTATGTATAATACTTTACTGTTCTGCTATGTCAGTCGGAATATAATACACCAAATTCATTCATTATCTAAACAATTTTACCGACAAAGAAATTATGTATGTTGCGGCTTCCTTTGTCAATATCATATTACCATTAAATTCGTACATCATATTATATTACATTTCTGTTGATAGTTAAAAATTAAATGATCTGGTATTATGATTATGTAATATTTTAGTGGGAAATAACAAAAATGTTATTTAAATCTATTATTATCTCAGTCTTTATGAATTAATAAATTTTACTATGTCTTTTTCTTCGGTTATATTTATATTTCTTATTTCATGCTTCATTGTTCTGGCTTTATTGGTCTGTTTATTCTTATAATTTTTCTTTTAATAATTCTTACTTTTTCATCATCGGTCTAATCGCTGTATCTATGTATTTTTGTCTTTGTTTTTTTTTGCTGTTTTTTTTTATTTTTAAGTAGTGTGTGATATTTCCAAAACACCCCGTTTTTCTCCCGCCTTGTGTGCGTGTTAGTCATACGTTGGATGTATTATTTGGAGTGGTTGATGCGTATTTAGTTATTACGGTTCTATTTGGTCTATTTAGTTCTTCAGCTTCCGTATTCGACAATTTTATAACGCCAAATGAGGACTATGTGAAAGGTGTCATTGCGTATGTGTTTATTGCTTTTACTAAGTGCTTGGAATTAAGTTTGCTTTTGAGTATTATCCAGATTTAGCCATACGGCTCACACTCCCTCTATGGAAAATATCGAGGAAAATTCACTCATTCCAGATACCTACGGTATCAAAAGGATTGAGCTTTGGTGGGACTCTTTCTGTGTTATTGAGCCCTAGGTGACTTGGTGTACTGGAGTATCTCCCAAAAATTTTCGTACTTATCTGGACGTCGCGAGGAGTACAGCTTTATGTATGGCCTTATAAAGATGTTCATTTAGACCTAGCTGTTTTATGTTCGCTAGGTGATTTTTGGGAATAACACGAGTAACATGAGTATTATTATTATTATTATTATTATTATATAATGATATCGAGCCAAAGCAGAGCTTATGTGGCCCAAATTACAAAATATTTGTATGTACTAAACTAAATAATATAATAAAAATCCAATTTTTTCACAAAGTAAAAAATAAAAATAATTTTTAAAAGAATTAGTACTTACAA